TAACACTGTCAGTCATCACAAGCACTGTGCACTCATCTGACTGTAAGCAGAATACTAACATCTTGTCTAGCTAATTACAGCAGCATTTATTTATTGCTTTACTACAGCCATCACAGCACCCAGGGTTGAAGATCTCCCACCGCACAGGCAGCTCTATTTCATGCAACCCTCCACAGTTACCCATGGAAGGACCACTATCATTTTCCCCAACTACTTTTGAGTAGGCTTAGAAAATCCCTGGTTTTCCACCCAGACTCCACTCTCTACCCACTTACAATCTAATCCCAACCTTGCATAAATTGTTGAGAGTCTCCAGTGATGTGATGGCACACAGATGCAAAGTTCTGCAGGACCATGACAAAGGACAGGCAGAGTTTTGTGCAGGTCAGCAGACAAGTCACAAAAAATACTTCTCTAGTTAGAAGCTCAACTTCTAACTCATCATGAGTAAATCACATTTACATGATTAATAAAATATTTTTCTTCAAAATTTATTAAGTAAAATTTTATTTTGGATTAACCCTGGTAATTATGATTTACACTGGCTCTCACTACACTAGATTTACTCTGTGTTTCTCCAAGTCTCATGACATCTCTAGCTGGGACTCCTTAGTTCTGTGTTTCTCAATCAGATGTAAGTCCAAGTCAGAGCTCTGGAGGTAGGTGTGCATTTTACAAGGCCAACAGGGGCAGAAGCTCAAGGTGGAGCCTTTGGAAAGATGGACTAATTCTATAAACCCATTCATCCTTAAGCTTGAGGTGGTCTTTGCTAATAAACAAACTCATGTAATTCCACTCAGATAAACACAACATCCAGCTGAACAAGTTCTGTCTCAGTTTGAGGACAGATCAATTTGGTACAATTTCCACACCTAAATAAGCTGTGAATTTTATCCTCATGCATAAAGTCTTATGCAAGACTTAAACCATGAACACTCAGGGGATTAGTTCATTCTCTTGGAACAAGGATCTAAAGCAAAAGAGCAGTTTTCTTGCTATTTTAAAGCCTGGGAGTTGTACTTCTATATGCACTGGCATTTCTTCTTCTGTGTGAGGGCTGGGGTGCAGAGGATGAAAGCTGTCAGGGCTTTTACTGGATCAGAAGCTCCAGATTCAGCTTGGTTTGCTTCCTGCTTCCTGCAGCTATTCTTTCTTTTAAATCCCCCAATTTTCAAACTCCTATGGTCACGCTTGGTCTGTGTTTCAAGATGTTTAATACCATTGCTGGCAATACCATTCCCAAAAGGCACCTTTTTTTTTTCTTTTTTAGGCACTGCAAAACCTCTTTGCAGGCCTAGAGAGGTTTCTGGGATGCATCAAGGTGGTTGTAAAAAACAAAACAATGCCTGGAAAAATAACACGAGTGTTTCCTGACTGATCCCAGACACTAAGCCACCAGGAGAACAGCTCTGGAAGAGATTTTTCTCAGAAATGTAGTGTATATCACATAAAGCAGAACTAGCAAGTTGGATGCAAACTGAAAAAAGAATGGGAGTGGGACCAGCAGGCCCTTGAAGAAGGAACTTATTTTTGCTGTTTATAGTTACAGTCTGCAACTGGCAATTCCTGATGGTAAAAATCCAGGCTTGGTCATTGAATATAGGACAGATCAGCCTTGTCCTGTATGCTTTCTTGTTGCTTTATTGGGAGCTTTATCTCACACCTGAAACAGTTGAGGACATTCATCACTACATATGACTGTCACAAAATCAACAGAGCCAAAGGCACCCTTTTCCCCTACAATGTAGGATCTTACTAATAATTTCAAGAGGCTTAAGACCAAATTTAGCAGATCATGAAGCAAAGCACAGTAACATCTGAAGCTCCTCCAGCTTCCAACCCTGGCTTGGCACCATGTTCAGGAGAGGACCTGCAGGACTGGGCATCATTCTGCTGTGCACTAAATACAGCTGCTTTATGTCGCCTGGGTTACTGCTTGTGCTGCCCTGAGGCAATCAGCTGGGCAGCAGGAGAAACTACCCTTCTAGGTCCCACCATTTAAGAGCTTCCCCACTGACAAGGAGGGAAGGCAGGCAGCAGAGACTGAGAGCTTTCTCCAGGGAGGTCTGAATCCCAGAGGAAGCCAAGTGAGCTGTGCCTGGAGCTCTGAATTCAAGCTTTCAGCCCCCCAAGCACGATGCTTAAAGCATTACACACACTTGCTCAAAGCCAGGTTTGCTCCTGCTGGCAAACAGCAAAACCAACACCCTTCTGAGGACAGCATGTACTCCTTGCTGAATACTTGCCGTGGGGTCGATTTTCCTTGGAAGAGCTTCATGCAACCACAGGTAATGTTTAGTTCCCAGCCTCTTCCTAGACACAGCCATACAAACAGGCTAGTAAAAAGTAAACCCTTCACATCACTAAAATGAGAGCAGAGTAATGGCAGGCTGAATTTGAACTCATTTCTTCTTCCATGCCACCCAGGAGATAAAGCAACGCTGTATAAGAACGTGTGAAGTGCCAAATACAAAATGGGACATGAGGGATCTTACTTCAGCATTGTCATTCTTTATCTTCAGCATGAAGGAAGCACAACTGGTATTTCTGTTTTGGGTGTTCTATTTCAGATACAGGTGTTTCTCTCACTTGACTTCAATCACACACAACAAAAGCTGATGAGACCTAGAGATCACAAGGACTTTGGGAAGTGACAACACAGGAAGTTCCACCTCAACATGAGGAGAAACTTCTTTCCTGTGAGAGTGACACAGCCCTGGGACAGGCTGCCCAGACAGGTTGTGGAGGCTCCTTCTCTGGAGACTTCCAAGACCCATCTGGACACGTTCCTGTGTGATCTCCTCTAGGGGATCCTGCTGCAGCAGGGGTGTGGGACTTGATCTTCAGAGGTCCCTTCCAACCCCTATGATTCTATGACAAATGCTAGTTAGTTTCAACAGCACACTTCAAAACAAACACCAGTGCTTACCACTGTAATTATTTCAAGTAAAGATAAAATCACATCATGCTACAACACTGGACATTTCCATGGAGTTGTTTAAAAACCATGTGGATGTGACACTTCAGGAGATGGTTTAGTGAGCATGGTGGTGTTGGGTTAATGATTGGACTTGATGATCTTAGAGGTCTTTTCCAACCTTAATGATTCTGTGACAAGGAGCTTTACCAAAACCAGCCCATTGTTCAGGTGAAGAACACCTACATTTCCACAATTCTTCCATCCTCTCAACCCAGAACTAGGTTTAGAAAAAAGGAAAAGCTTGAACCAGGAACTGCAATATTCAGACTGCTTTGCAAGTCTATGAATTTTACAGGAAAGTGCTTTCCCTAACGACAGGGTAATAAGACCTCTGAATATACCTGTTTGAAACCTCTAAATCAACCAAACCAGAATCAAATTATCCTTGTTTTGTTCTTTTTTTTGTTAAAAAATGGAAAAGCTGAGCTTAAACATTTGCTCACAACTGTATCAGCACTAGCTACACATAACAAGTAAATGTGAAATTTCTGAGGCTTTGTGCTACATTCAGAATACCAAGTTCATTTTTGTTGTTAGAACCAAGCCAAAACCTTTGACCTGTTTCTCAGCTTGACATATTTAAACTTAGGCTTTTTTTTTTTTTCTGTGTGTTAACCCTCATGAATGTCATTTTACCTGGCTGCCTCCTTGCAGATACAGAACAAGAGGTTCTGTCTTGGGGATGGTTACCCACATTTTGTACCAAGTCTTCCCTTTTTCAAGGAACTGGAGGTAGCTGCTGAAGAGGCTGTTTTCAGCTGCAAAGATGCTTTGCTTCTGGATGGAAAAAAACATAAAAAAAGAAGAAAATAAAACATTTACATGGGCAAAATACTTCAAATTAAGTAAAAAAATATACTTGATTTAAGTCAAATAGTAAGAGTCAAATAATACTGCAGGGCCAATGCTGGGGAGCCCATAACTGAACAGAAGTTTAATCATTATTAACCATCAAGAAATAGCACTGTCAGATGCTGAAATAACATTCCCAGCAGACAGGAAGCTAAATTCCACCTCCACCAAAGAAATTGAGAATGGTATTTAAGATGATGCAGATATTTTCTTGCTTAGCAAAGTAGGCTCAGAGAGGATCTGAAATTAATGCAGAAAAACCAGACATATTTGTGCATGGAGCTAGAAACGTGAGCCAAATCAGAGAGGGCTAGGTAGGGCAAGAAAAGATTGAAATAAATTATTGTTTTCTGACAGAAAGCAAAGAAAACCCAAATTCTGGTGACATGAGACTTTGCACAAAAGTCTCCTGGGGATTTCTGGCATCTGCTAATAACATTTGTAAAGCGGCAATATTCTCTGCTGCTATTAAGCCTGTTAAGAAAGTTTATTGTAAATAGGAGGGGAAGAAAGAGACTGGATCTGATTTTACCTTTTTCATACCCTTTTTTTCTTGCATTTTACCTGATCCTTTTAAGATTTAGCAGAGGGTTAGAAGCCTGAGCATGTAAAGGAAAAAATTACTCTTTTCCTTGAGTTTTTACAATTGTAAATCTGCTTTCTGAAGAAAAGCCACAGGTCACATTTCACTGGTTTGGTTTTTGGCTTTGTAGATGAGCTGAGCTCTGAGCTGGGTGGGTGTAGGTTTTCACCTCACTGGGAAACAGCTCCGCTGAAGCACTGCTGGAGGGTTATCCCAGAACACAGTGATGCAGATCAAGTGCTCAGCACCCATGGTACCCATCTGTACTGCAGATCTCAAGTGCTGATGGTACCAAGCTCTAGTTCCAGCTCCTTCTCTGTGCTCTGCAGTGGTAGTGCAGGGAGTGCACTTGTAGCTTTGTTTCTGAGATTCTGGAACCATTTGGGTACAAGGTAGACAAAGCACCTGAACAGCAGAGTTCAGATGTACACCTGGCACATTATGCTGCTGTAATTTTAGCCTGGCAAGAAGTATGACATGCTGGGATGCAGAGCAGAGTATAAGAGGAGTATTTGAGGACTCATTTATTATAGGAGCGCTGGATGTGCACTGGCAGGTTTGTGTTCCTTGCTCAGCCCAGCTCTTTTCCAAGTAGTTTGGTTCTGATGAGGAGCACAGCAAGGCTGGAAGGCAATCTGATGGCTCTGAGTGGTGTCTTCCAGACAGATGTTTTTCAAGGTAAGAAGTTTTTCAGTATAGGCTGCAACTCTTCCCCAATTTTCCATGCAGTGCTCCAGGCAGGATGGTGCTGGTCAACATACAGGGGGAAGATGGCTTGCAATGAAGTTCTCAGTGTTTCAGTGGCTCTTTCAAGTACCTAATGTCTCTGTGGGTCCACTTAAAATTTAGATGACTGTCCTCTTTTACACATGCAGTGACTTCTGGCTGTATTTCACAGGTAAAATAAATACAACCTTTTCTTCAGGGTGGCCCACGAGAAGCACAGCATGTAACAGTACTCACAGTTCTATCTCCTGACTGAAAAAAGCACTGGTAAGAGAAGGTTCAGTTGCTGTGGGTAAGGATCAAACAAACCACTTTGCCAATACGTTTCTTGTTCTTGCACAAAAGAAGGGTAGAATGTACCAGCATCAAGGTCTAAAGCTTGGTGCCATCTGTGCCAATTGTGAAGCAGTAATTTATTTACACTGTACAATTTGTGGAAATCACATCTTGGAGAAAAGAGTCTACAGGTTTGAGAAAGTTCCAGTGAATCCTGACAGTCTTTCAGAAGGATGCCAGGTTTTTGTGAACTCAACCCAGAAAAAAAAAAATAGTTTCAACAGTATCATGATGGGATGTGAAATAAGGAGGGCAAATGTATCTTCCAGATGGAGTTAACACTGAAAAAACAAATCCGGTTTTGCCAACACTTGTTGGAAATGCACCATAATAGAAAGAAGACAGAAATTTCCCCTCTTTTTTCCTTACTTTGAAAGCTGAAGTTTAGCTGCAAAACCTGTGAGTGTCCCTGCATGACCAGCATCCTACCATGAACACTCACCCTTTACAATCAGCAGTCAGGCTGCCTGCATATTCAAGTTACTGGGGGGAAAAAGAGAATCAAACCATTTTCTTTGTTTAATACATGAGGGGAAAAAAAAACCAAACAGAAGAGACTCACAAGGGCAGCCATCACAGCCAAAGTGACTTAGCTAAATACTGTACCTCTGCAGCTAGTCTTTTCTTTTGCTCTCCAGCTGTTTCCACCCCAGGGCTGCAGGGGCTGGATGGTAACTGCAGGAAACACTCTTTGCAGACCCGGTTGTGACGGCTGTTATCTGCAAGTGGCTTGAACTCGGAGCATTTTGCACAGATCACCTGCATAAGGATGGTGCCTTATTAGCTGTCATTAAAACATGACCCTTCTTCAAGGGAAGTGACTTGCAAAACTGCTGTTATGAATGTACAATCCAGAAAATCAATGTAAGATAGAGGGAACAATATAATATTTACTTTATCTACTTTCATTAATAATTAATGTTTCTGTGATCCCACGCTGTGTACCAATATACCTAACTACAGCAAGTGTGTGCCTTTTGGGAATTGCTTTATGACTGACATCCTGCAAGTTTGCTTTTCTTTTTCTGTAAGCCTTTATGAATAAAAAAGGGCTTAGGTTGGCAAAGGAATCAGTGCTTTTAATGCCAATCCTCAAGTGGCCTAGGAAGGACTGATTTTCAGAGTACAGGCAGTTGATGCTTCCTCATCAGTGAGGCAGTTCAGCCTGACAGGACTGAGGAACCAGAAGATCACATCACCAACACAAGTCAAATATATTATCCATTAAAAACTACTTGTCAGATGGCAAATTAACAATTTTTGCTTCCTTTCCTGAGCTGCCAAGAGCACACCACGACACACTGGTCCCCTGAAACCAGCGCCTGTGAAGATCGGCAGCTCTGGAACCTGTTTTCATGCTTAACATCTGACTTGACCACTTGCTGCTGCTCCAGAGAGAGAAGCTGTCCTGGGGGGACAAGGCAGTGGCAGTCTGCTGGATTCCACAGCCATTCTGAATTGACTGTACAATAATATGCCACAAATGCCCTCCGGGTACCTGTTCTTATTTGCTTCACTGCAAGGCATCTATTACTAGATGAAGGTAACTGCCTCAGAGCAGGAAGGGCTAAGTGAAGCACCATTCCACCAAGTTACACAAACAAAAGCAAGCCACCATTTTTAGAAACATGACAGTCTTTCCTTGAGATTAATTAACTCCTTTAATTTGAATGCTATGTCACATCACAAAACATTGCATAACCAACAACTCCTTAACAATAAGTTATTAATAATGTATTTCCTTTTGTCTGTCTGTCCATGGGGGAAAGCCATGATTTAATTTATTTCATAATACTGAGCTCTGAAATGGAACATTTTAAACCTCTATAAATGTATTTCATTATTTAGTAATCATTAATAAAAACAAAGCCAGAAGGTGAAAAATCCCAATTCTGGTGCAAAAATATCTCCTCCCCAGTAATTTTATTTCAGTTGCTGAGACTGAGGTTTCTTCAAATATCGTAACTATATGTTTAGGTCTCTCTTCAGCTGAAAATTTATCTCCACTTCAAATGAATAATGGCATTTATACAACATTCTTTTCTACTAATTACATTACAAACAATGAACCCTGAAACTCAAGTCACAGCAGGCAGGTTTCAAGCCACATTGTAGAAATCAACCTCTTGGCCATGGCTGTGATTTTCAGAGTAAACCCTGAGAATTAAGATGTCAGCAGATGGCACTGGGGATGGGTGGCTAAGTGCCTTCAGTAACCTGACCTTGAATCTCCAGGACTGAGTTGTTTGTTTTTACTTTTCAAGCAGGTGGAAAA